AGCGTCTCGTTCCCTCGGGGAACCATGGTTACATTCGTAACCTGGAGACGTTCCCCTTCAGGAACTCAAGCTGGGTCGGAAAACGCTTTGGGAACAAGTATGCCCACACGGCCAGACTTACAAATCCCTGCCTAGTGTGGAAGAGCACAGCTAAGGCGAGAGAAAGGAGCCAGGAGTGGTGCAAATTGCACGTAGGCACCTGGCAAAGTAGGCGGGGATATCCCACTGCGTCCAGAAGGCCAACTTCAGAAGGAGTGAGCCTTGACCCCTAAAGGAGAGGGGAGATCAGAGGACTCGAGGCTATGAAAAAGCATCCTGATCCACCGCTTAGCATAAGCTTCTCTGGCCAGAGGCCTCAGCGCACCGTGGAGGAAACGTGTAACTAGGGGGTGTCTGCCCACTGACTGGCCACCGACACGTAGACTTTCAAGGTGGAGTGGGTCAACCCTGCAGAGAAACGGGCCTGCAGGAACTCCAGCACTGTACCAACTGGGCAGTAAACTGGGTCAAGCTGGCAGTCTCCACACCAAGAAGTGAAAAGATTCCACTTCAGGGCATACCGTTTCCTCGTAGAGGGAGCTCTGGATTGGAGAATGATCTCAACAACCTCGGTTGAGAGACAGGAAGCTGCGAGTTGTGCCCCCCCCGGGGCCACACCCACGCTTCCACAGCTCCGTGCGGGGGTGAAGATAGTACCCGCTGCCTGTGAGAGGAGATCCCTCCTGATGGAAATCTCCCATGGAGAGCCGTTGAGAAGGGAAACTAACAGTAGAAGGACCCCATCCCGGCACACCGTCTCCAGAACTCCCGGGAGCAGAGCGATGGGGAAAAAAGGCGTACAGATGAAGCCTCGACCACGTCTGTACCATAGCGTCCAGTCCGAGAGGAGCTGGATGAGTCAGAGAGAACCAGAGGGGACAGTGCGATGTCTCTCGAGTCGCAAACAGGTCCACCTGAGCCTGGACAAAAACTCTCTATATCTGCTTCACCACCTTGGGGTGAAGCCTCCATTCCCCAGGCCTCGGCCCCTGCCTCGACAGGATGTCTGCTTCCATATTGAGATGGCCAGGAATGTGAACTACTCTCAGCAAGAGGAGCTTGCACTGGGACCACACAAGGATCTGGTGTGCCTGCCTGTAAAGGGGGCGCGAACGCAGACCTCCCTGGTGGTTGATTTAAGAGACCGCCGCTGTGTCGTCGGTGCACCAACACATGGCGCCCTCTTAGGTCTGGGAGAAAGTGTTTCAATGCTATAAACATGTCCAGCATCTCCAGGCAGTTGAAGTGCCACGTGAGATGGCGGCCGCTCCACAGACCGCGGGCTAATCGGCCACTCATGACCGCTCCTCAATCAGTGAGGGACACATCCGTCGCTAACATTACGCGTCGACAAGGAGCTCCCAGCACCGGGCCCTGAGAGAAGAACCAAGGTTACTCCACATGTCTAATGCACTTAGGCATCGCCGCGTGACCTTGAGCATGCGGAGTGGGTTTCCCCTCAGGGAGAACCCCTTGGTCTTGAGCCATCACTGTAGGGGTCTCATGTACAGCAGG